CTGAGAAAACAATGCAAGTCCTGCTTCCTGCAGTAGTTCCTGGTCCTGTTCTGGAATTCCTGTATCTGACTGAATCCTGGCCTTTACACTCTGCAAAGTCTCTTCCTCTGTCAAAGAGTAGGTGTGCACAGTTCCCGTAACCATGTTCAAAACATGAAGCAACTACAACAAGAGTAGCATGGCATGAGAAAGGCTGACGATACATTGGTCATCTTAGAGCAGAGATCAAGGGACTGGGACAATGACCACCAAAAAACTTCTCAAAGTACTTAGCAGACTCAAGAATTCACTCTGCAGCTACTTCCTAACATTATGGCAAAGTTCTTGTCCTCCATCAAGTGAGAGGCCACATGGCAATTAAATACCTTCACCTGTAGAATCCTCTATCAGAATATGGAACTAAGCATTCACGGAAGCTATTCACTACTCCTAATAAGCTCAGCGAGTATTTGTCCTCAAAGAAGCAAGAGAAAAGCACCTGTCACTAGCTGTCAGGAGACAGTTCTGCGAGTTTCTGCCTCACTCTTCCTCCTAAGTCTATGATTCAAGCCTTTCCTCTCACAGAATACAGGCAACTACTCTCCAGAAAACTTTTCGGGGTAATATGGACCTACTGCTTACCTTCAAGTTCAAAATGTCATCCAAAGCTTTGAAACACCCATTGGGTCCATACATAGGATCTGTACCTCTCTGACGTGGGTGCCACATTAACATGAGTTGCAGCCATTTCTCCAGCCTCCCAGACAAAACACTGAGCAATAAAAACCAGGAGGAGATCAGAAGAGGTAAAAGTGCATTTGCAATAACCATATGGCCTGTTCTGTGTGGGAGGACTAACAAAACTCCCCCCCACTTCTCTCTATCACAAATGTAGTGTTTTGAAGGCAGAAACCAAGACTATACAAGTCTGATAAGTGATAATAGTACTGCCTGTGTCATGCACTCAATTTATTCACAGATTAACACAGTAGAGCATATAACATAATCTTGGTCCTTTTGCAGAAGAATCAGTTTATCTCAGCACAGCAATTTCTAGTACTTACCTGTTCAGATTGTTTGGGCAGGGCAGACGGCTAGAAAACTTGACTTCTCCAGATAAGTCCTCTGAAACAACAATATCCAGCTCACTCTTCTGACGGACTTTTGTATGCCTAATGTAAGCAAGCACAATGGTGAAATAATTGCCTGCCTTTCCCATCCTGTAAATTAGTAGGCTCTTAAAGCTATTCTTGATAGACATAATACAGATGCCACTTTGGTTTCTGTTATCTGCCTTGCAGGAGTCAGCCCTTATCCCATAGAGCAAGTATCAGGAATGTTGAACTTGCTCAGGTGGGTCAAACTCCTGTGAAAGGGGTCAGTTTCCATAAGGGCAAGGAACATAGGGATATTATCCTCAGAATCAAGGGACACCATACTTCCTGTTTACAGGAAAGTCACATCATGCCCACTTATCACCCAGCCACAGTTCACTCACCATTGCACTGGCTGCCAGTTGGGTAGGAATGGTCGGAAGCCTGTAATGCACTCAAAGGCAAGCGTGCCAAAGCTCCAGTAATCCACTGTCACCGTATACTTCTGCTGTTCCAGCAGCTCTGGAGCCTGGTACAGTTTACACACATGAGAAAAAGCCACCCAGCTCTAAGCTTTCTCTATCCCTTAACATCTCATTAACATTTGTACAAATTATTAAAGACATTACTGAATGCTGCCTCTCACATGCTTTAATTCCCTCTAGGAGTGAGCAGTATTCCTGGTTACTGGCACTTCTGCTTATTCATAATAGAAGCAACTAGCAGAAAACCCAGTGTCAGCAAAAAACAGTCACCTTCACTTGCTTCAGCACCACAAACACACCCCATACCATGCAAGTACTTAATCCCAGCCCAAAACTTGATAACAATTAATTCTACCCCACTAGAAAGCAGTAGCTGCTCTTATACCTGAATTCCTTTCTTACCAAGTACTGCAGAGTCCCAACAAAGGATGTGCATAGGCTACCCTGATCCAACTCCTTAGCATAACCAAGGTCAATGATTTTGTGTATTAACTGAAACACACAACAGAGAATAAGAGTGCTAGACCGAAATCCTGTTAAAAGCACATCATACAGCAGAAAGAAAATGTTCAGCTCTTCAAAGCTATACAGGAAAGGTGCTAGTGAAGAGGCAGAAGTAGAAATGGGAGGCTACTGTAGATTCCTTAAGCCACAATGAATTTGAAGGTGTCATAGCACACTTAGCAGTTATGTGTCTAGTTCCTTCCAATCTTAGGTCAATCAGTACAGTGTGGCTCTCTCCTTAATAGCTGAAAGTCGAAATGTCAGGTGTTAACAGATGTCTAATACAATGTCTTAGCTGCACACAGAATACTATTCATCTGACATAGTGGCCTGAGACAGGTGTTATCCTGGGCTGAGTGCTCTTGCAGAGGGACCATGTAACTGCATGAAGCACATGCATGCTCCTTATAAGCTTACTTGTCTGTGCAGGCAGAGACAACTGCTTCCTGCTTACCCTTTGTTCTCCTTGCTGCAGCACAATGTTCTCTGGTTTCAAGTCTCTGTGGATGATCCTGTTCTCATGAAGGTATCTGAGAGCAGAAGCTGAGACACACATAAAGGAAATTTTAAGAGCATAAGTAACAGTACCTAGACAAGATCAGTAAGGACTCGGTTCTATTTATGGCTTTCACATCAAACCTTGTACAATGAAACATACCATGAAACACTAAGTGTAAGGTGTAAAGTTAGCATCATAGAACTCTGGACACAAACTGAGTTCTCTCTCTGAATGTTCCCCCACATTCTTCCTTTAAACTGTAGTAACACTGGCTAGCTTCCAGTAGGCAAGGACCTCCCCAGACTCCCAACACTTTTGGTAGATGATCAAGATCATAAAAGGTCAGTCTAAAACTGAGTCACTAAGGTCACTGCTGTATATTTGGAGAGTTGATTCAGGACTAAAAAGGTTTCTATAGCTCAGACAACTGAAGGCTACCACTTACCAATGTCAGATAACAAGATAAGAATAGCTTCTTCCCGCAAGCCACAGCAATTCTCCAGCTGGTTCAGGTACTGCAAGTAAGCAACACAAAATGCAGTCTTTCCTTCCTCTATCCTGAGTGAAGCCCACAGTCCCGCAAATTCTCAGGGATACAAGAAATTTCAGCAACAGCAATTAAATTCTCCAGAAGCACAAAATTCTATGGGGTGTGACCTGTGACAGCAGCAATTACAGCTTCATAATTAAATCAGCCTTAGCTTAATTGCATGGGAGAATAAAGGAGTAGGTGAAAAGTCACTGTCATCCCATTCTAATCCTTCTGTTTGTTCCATCCCTCTTTGCCATTTCCCCTGTGCCTGCCAATATCAACTCCAATATGAGGCCTAAAGTCTGTGTTTTAGCTATGGGCAGATTACAGCAAAGGTCAGAAAAGCCTTAGGATTAGAACTATCATGTGTTATTTCTTCCTACAACAGACAAGAGTTAATCACTTTAAGGAAGGGTACAGCCTACAGATGCACCTACCCTACAATGGTCTTGGCCATACTCATATTCTGTTGCACATCCCTTACACTTGCCCTCATTATTTATGTGCAAACTCCTCACAGTGTCACTTGCATCCAAAAAACCAAAAGAGTTTCACAAAGCACTTAAGTCTTCAAAAGCTGAACATAGTATCAAGGACCAATCCACCAACAACTGGTGATGCCATGATAGAATTAGGAAGCCTCAGGATGTGAAAGCAAAGGTTCTAAGAGAACAGAAAACCCAGGATAAGATTAGAAGCTGACCCATTCCTTGGTTACCACCCCAGGGACCTCACCTTGCGGAGGTCTCCCCCTTGGCAGTACTCCATGGCCAACAGTGGCAAGTCATTTGGTGCGAGCTTCTGCATCCCTTCAGGGACATCGCGGGCAGCCACCACATTGGGATGGTTCAGTCTGCGGAACAAAAATTAGGCAAGTAGGCATGATGTTCTGCAACTGCTATACAATTTCACATGCTCCTGGTCATCACCTAAAGTGATCACAAATCCTTTTAGAAATTAAATGAGTGAATTCTGAAGGTTTGCATATTTCACGGATCTAGCCTCATTCAAACTCCTAGCATTTCACGTGCAAGACAGTGTGTTTCTTCAACACACATGCATTACAGATCTGTCTAGAAGGTACAGCAACAACTCTTGCAAGGAGTGCAAGGCAGTCTGTTGCCACCGTCCAGAAAAGACCCAAACTGCAATCAGACCACTACACCCGAAAATGCTAATCCAACACCCCAAGGGACAGACGTTAAGGCAAGCAAAGCAGCGGCTAGGTAGCAGCGTTGTTGTAGCGCTGAGGGCACAGCAGACGAGCCGAAGACGGCAGTGTGAAACCCAAGAGTCTCACGCAGCACCGTATGAAGTTTTCTTACGCGTGAACTTCCACCCACCTGCCGCCGAGCGGACCGGGCACCTCCCGGAAGGGGATCCCTTGGCGGCCAGCGGCCGAAAGCCTCTCCCACCATTTCCCTCAGCGCACCCGTCAGATCCGCGCTCCAGGGCCGCCTCCGCCACGCGTCCCGGGGCACCGACGCGACACCGCGCAGCGACCCCTCCGCCCGGCCCGGCCCACGCGGGCACCGGCCTCGGCCCGAGAACACCGCCGCCCCGCCTCACCTCTTCATGATCTGTATTTCCAGCGCCCAGCGGTCGCGGTTGCGCGGGCTCAGCTCCTGCCGGCACTGCTTGATGGCCACCTGCTCGCCGGTTTCCTGTGGACATAGTAAGGGTGGGCTGAGACCGGGTCCGGAGCCGGGGCGCCGCGGGCCCGGCTACCGCCTACCTTGTTGTGCCAGCGGATGACGTTGCCGAAACCGCCGGTGCCGAGGCGCTCCCGCATCTCCCAGGGCCCGCAGGTCAGCGCCTGCAGCGCGGGCGGGCGGCTCATGGCGGGCCCGGCTCCGCTCCGCGGGACCTGCGCTTCCGGCTCCGGCGCCAGCGCCCGCCCTTCCAGGGGCCGCGCCGGGCCGGCGCTCGGCCCGCTCGGGGCCGCCCCGGCGAGGAACGGCGGAGTCGCGATCGCCGTGGCCGCGATACCGCGTGGAGTCAGGGGCTCGGGATGAGAGGCGAGAACAGCTCGTGGACTGTGTAAGTAAAATTAAAGAGTTGCCGTCTTCTGCCCGCAGCATCTCCAAGATCTGCCAATCCGGAACGCACCATTTGCTTTTCCCACCGCACCGCCCGAGCCAAAGCGCTATTCTGGCTTTACATCGGGTTTGGCTATTTCTTCCTTCTGGGCTGGCTGGCGTGAGTTGCTTTAATACCACTGCAAAGATGCACAACAGTACGGGGGTGGAAACTGCTCTCCAAGATCTGCCACAACTCCAGTCGCCTGCGCTGGACCTGCCAAAGCCACCGGCCAGAGAGGGTCCCGCCGAGGTGACATGGGCCTACTGTGGGATGTCATGCTGTCACACTTCGTCACTGCCATTAAATAGTCCTGCTGAAATTATCCCAAGGATCAACGTAGAGAAAATCCAGTAGGTGGTGCTTGAGAGAGCAGACACTTTATTGCTGGCTTTCCTAAAATATGTTAAGCCCTACAATGGCACCACAGTCTGTAGACAATTATAGTTGTCCTTAAGCTCTGAAAAGCCAGGAAGTAATTTCTGAAATCTTCCCCCATGGCCATCAGTTTGTTAGCATCCTTAATCTAGAAATCAAATGGCTAGTATCTTAAAAAATAAAATAAATTAGCCCCTGCTCTCTCAGCAGTGTTCAATCTCAACAACTGGAAGTCCCTTCCAGAAACAGTCAAATGCAGCTACACATCAGATTTATGGCAGTAATGTTATCACTAGCACTGTGACTCTTGGAGAAATAAATTTTATAATCTTGACATAGATCTCCACACAGATAGAGTACGGGTGTTTCATCTTTACCATTATGCAAAATAACCAGTGCTGTGTTTTCCAAACGAGGTCTCTATGCACCTGCTTCTTAAAATAGAAGTCACTCACTCCACATACTGGTTCTTACATCTTATACTAGATTCTGTCAGGAGCTTGATTGCTAGTGTATCAGTTCCAAGCAGGTACGACACATTCATCACTGTAACAATTGCAGCAATGACTGTTTTCATAACAGTGCCCTAAGTTAATCACATTTGTCTGCCACGCTTTGATAACTGAATACTCATGACCACATTCTGGTAAGTAGATCTTCATTTTCTAGGGTGAGTAATATCAGTGAACATTTAACTCTGGCCCTCAACATGCTGTTCCTTATTTGTATCTAAAGTTCTAAGAAGTTTTGCTCATTTAACTTGAAAACTCCCCTGTTTCTTCTCCTGTGGCTCTGTTCAGGGCATGCTTTGCTCCACAATTGGGTCAAGGCCTCTCTGCCTGTGGGAACTCAAAATGTCTCTCAAACATTTTTAGAGGTTCCAAGCCTTAGTCAGAGGCATTCTAGACCCTGGCAGACAGCTGAAAAACAGCTGTAACTTTGAGTTGGGGCCATGGGGTGAGTTGCCAGCTTTGGAGGTGGAACAAGCAGTCACAAAAGGTTAGATAGTATAGTAAAAGTAATTACAAAGTAGAGGGGAATTTTTTTTTAGTATTGTAAAGGGGGGTTTTAGCACATATACAGGGGGGTTTTCACTTTGTACATGGGGGTCAGAAGTTCTAAGATGGAGGAAAGTGGGCTGATCCTGTTCTTCCTCCTTCTTTTTCCTTGCCTCCATGTTCTTGGTCATGTTGGCAGTCACAGATTGGTTTACAGTAGAAAAGCACTTTGTAATATAGGTAGTAGGTATTGGGGGAAAACTATAAACATGTAATACGTAATATATCATATAAAAGATAGCAGCAGCCCTGGGCGGGGAGAGAGACGAAGAAGACAGCAGATAGAGAGGATGTCAGGGTGTGTGTGTGCCTCTACCCAGGCCGCTGATCAAATAGCCGCAGTCCAAGAACATAATCTGTTAGATAACTAGCAATAAACTGCCTTGAGACTGAACAGCTAAAGCCTGTGGAGTTTTTCTTTGGAAGCACGGGTTGGAGGAGGAATTTCACCACCATATGAGACCCCAGAGCAAGGCTGTGGTTCTCACATCTGCCAAACATTTTCATTAGGAACACAGCACACTACACTTGTGTGTGAAACAGGAGTTTCTTGTTATTAGGACTAAGTCTACATACAGCAGACTTCTGATTATATTATAAATAATACAGCTGTGCATTCATTCATACTCCTAGAAGTATAATGGGACAGGACAGTTCGTTGTAAGGGATACATACTATTTTGTCATTGAACAATAAGGTATTCAATGGGGAAGAGATTGTTTTGAGAACTAAATCTGCTCTCTGACTGGAAAAGAGAAAGAACAAAACAAACTGGCTGTAAAATCCAGCAGCATTCCAGCAAGTAGCTTTCCTCCCGTCCTGCACAGGGCTCCCTCCCCAACAATCCGGATGCCAGCCGCCTGCTTGGACCATCCCCTAGATGCTCGGGAAGGGGTGGGATGCGGACAGCACGCCCCATGGCCCAGCTCCATCAGCACGCTCCACCCCCTCAAGTGGTGCTACAAGTAGGACAGAGAGATCAGAGCAGAGACACAGGAAACACAAACCCAGACTGGTCTGGAAAGAAAATCATCAAGACTACAGAAGAGAAAAAGCAAAAAGGTAGGCACTACTCTGCACCTGTTTCAAAAAGGGCATTTCCTGTTTTCAACATCAATGGCATTGTCATTAAATACTATTAAATATTATTATTTAATAAATCCCAATTTAATAAATGAAGTACCATGATAGTTAACTAACTGAACTATTGCCTTCCTGCTTTTGAAATAATTCATAGCGTAGGTAAAGATGCTAACTTTCAGTTGTTTCAAGAAAGCTGAAGCTTTCCAGGGAAAGGGCTGACATGCCTTTTTGTTCACATTTGATAAGTGACAGCTCTTTTTTAGGTCTTATTCCACATAGGTAAGATAATGCTTACATTATTACTGCTTAGGCTGTTAGTAATAATAGGTTAATATGTGGGATTTTAAGTGTTCCTGTTGACGATGCTTCAGCAAAAAGAGACAAATTTAAGGTATAATATAGTGTTCTATCCTAATGTATTTGAAAGTGTAGAATCAAAATGTCAGAACATCACATCTAGGTCTTTGACTTATTGGTCTAGTATTTTTGAGAGGCCTACCAGATGCACACTGCTTGCCGGTTTCTGCTTGGAGCCTTGTAAGCATACTTTTCAAACAGTCAAATTATTTCAATTTGACGGCTTTTCATTCCAGTTGACTGGCCTAAGTTGTACCTTTCCCAAAACTGAAAATAAATGTATGGCAACATCTGTTACCAGTTTTCCATGCATAGTGGGACAGCAGCTATCAGTGGATGGACAGGAAGAGGTGGGGGAAATGCTGCAGCGCTATAAGCTAAGATAGCCTGAACAGGGGCAACAGAAATCAGTGGAAGACAGGATGTGACATCTAATGTAAAACCACTTTAGAGAGACTATCTACAGCATTTTGCAGTATAAACACTTGCTGTGTATGGCTAGAACCTACTTGTACAGATGAATATATGAGTTGAACTTGATTAAGCCATGCAGGTGCTTTTTTAAATAGAGACTCCTCATGTCAGTCTTCCAGGCAAAGAAAGTATTAAAAAGACATTTTTAAGTTTAAACTACCTGCTGGTTTCAGGTACGTAGGACTTCTTCCAAGATATCAGTTAGGCCAGCTGTCCTCCCAGACAAAAAAAAAAACCCAAAACAAACAAAAATACCCCTTATGTTGTCTTGTTTTGGGGCATCTTAGCAGGTACCTCAGAAATAAGGTCTCAACAGTTCTTTACTGTGCTTCCCAGGCAGGAATTCTAACAAGGCAGCTCAGCTGTGATCTAAGTAGTTTCACTGAACAAAGCTTTTCTTGAAAACAAACGCCTTAGCTACCAGAATTCTGTTTCTTGCAGTTGTAAGAACTTCAAGCCTTTTCCACAGATAACAACAAAGATCACCTGTGATACCAACAATTAGCAAGTTAAAACATTGCTACTGTGGGATTCAGAACACAAGCCTGCATAGATGTAATATGGAACCACAGCTGCACGGAGTAAGGATACTACGCAGGGTTATGGCAGAAACCAAGCAACTGGATGGCAGTTCAGATCATTCACTTTGACTTTGGGAATGCTACTGATTTAGTTCAGATTGAATTGAAGTTGAAATTGAATGCTGAAAGTCAATTAATTGAAAATCACTTGTACCATTTTTAAAAAGGCGTGCCATACAATGCAAAAAGTTTCCTAAGAGCTGAAAATAGCTTGAAAATATATAAAAACTGTACTGTGAAATCTACAGACCAATACAAATCACTGAGATATGTGCCAAATTTTAAGGATTTTATCATTAATATGTGACTCAAAGATAAAGCATTGGGTAATTAAGGTCCTTGGAGGATGTTCTTGGGAATCTTTTTAGTCTGACTCACAGCTTAAGTCCCATCTTTTTGCAGCCTGAGGATGAGAAATCACATCCTAAATTATCCTGCTGTATTCTTGATTCTGCTTCAGAAACTGGACTATTTGTGCCTTTTGCTTTGAACAAATTTTAAAACAGACAATGAAAGAAACCAAATGACAAAACTACTAAAAAACCACAGAGTCTTTCTCCATACTAGCCTTGAATCCCAATTTATGACTCATCTATCATACTTCAATTTCAGCAGCTGTTATCCAGCTGCCTTTTCTGGCTTTATATAAATAGAGTCTGAGTTCATGATTTCTGAAAGTAGTAGTTTTCTCAAATTAATTGGGTTAGCTTTCTGCATATAACATAGACAATAAACAGGTGATAGTGTGGGAACAGTGCCTGAATATTATTTCAAATATTTGGAACTTCAGGACAATCCTAGAGACTGGAAATTAAATTGTATCTTCTTGCCTGTTGTGCCTGCTTACTGTATCACACTCCCAGATCTTGGTTTGTAGAGGAGGTATCATATTTTAAAAGGAAGAGAGAAAATGGACTTCTGGTGTGGGACTTGTTTAAAGGTGGGGGGCTCCACCACAACTACATCACACCTTCACAATCTCCCACTAGGGATCAATGAAAGTTCTCTCCCAAGAGTACTGATATAGGAGTCAGACTATGTAAATTGATTTGGAGAAAGTAGAAACTCTTCCTGGTGGACTGAGGAGGGCTTTGAACTGTAAAGCTGCTGAAAGGATTAGGGGGGATAATTATAGTTGTGACTGCGTAGAAGTGACATACAGAAAGATGCTGCAACAAATAAATGACACTATCATAACAAAAGCTAGCCTGCCAGACCATTGCCATACTCTGCCTTTTTTAGCAAAAGCATATGATAATAGTAAAAACTAAAGGCTTATAAGACACACAGCAGTACTGTCCCCACCTATCATCAAGCAAAATAATTTTGCCTACACATCCTCTACACAAGAGCAAAGCCTTCACTCTCACTCAAAGCAGCAGTCATACAAAAAATGCAAATCCTCTTAAACTACTGTTACCATATCACTGTTACTGACCCTTCAGCAGATGTCTGTGTCTCTGCAAGAAATCTCTTAAGTAGGTGTCAGTAATCTGAATTTCAATCAACGCATTCAAATCACCATCAGACAAGCCCATCTCTCTAATACTGCACACAGTACTGTTGGCATCCTGCAATTTAGGGAAAAAGTGCTTGAAATTTACTTCTGTCTTATTCCCCAGGAAACACCCTCTCAGTTTCCTCCAGACATAAAAGAGTGTGCTTTAGCTTATCGAGTTTCTAAGTCTATCAAGTAAAAGCACATCTGGGTCCAGCCTGGCAATTTCCCCAGGAAGACCAGGATAGTTAGACCAGACAGCTGAAAAGCGATGGGTTGAAAATGTGTAAAAAGAACTTCTGTAATTTAAAATTTTCATTTAAGGCTACACCTTGAACTCTGTTCACACTGTAAAACTCGTTTTTTCAACATCTTTTTTTTTTGTCTCGACAGATATTTTGAAATTTGGAACTGATGTGGAAAGCACTCAAAATGGAAGGCAAACTCCCATGTGTCCTTCTGCTGATGGGAGCAATCATGACTGCCCAGTGCCAGGTAAGAGGCTAATGCATCAAATAATTCTCTTGCCATCTTCCTGTATTTTCAGCAGCACTTCCCTACCATTGACTCCAGCTGTCTGCATCAGGCAGAAGGAGAATCTGCTTAGCTCACTAGAAATCAGAGGAATAAATGTTTACCTTTTGTTGCGGATGTGTTATGTGTTATCCTGGCTGGTTTTCATGTCAGTAAGCAAGTCTTCTCCAGATATTCTTCATGTATCTATTCACTGTCACCTTTTTTTGTTAATAAGAATTCCACTGTAACCCACCTTTCATTTTCTATGGTCATCCTCTTCATCACTACTCTCACTTAAAACTGGACATCAATGGTTCCTTGTCCCCTCACTTTAAGCCTCACACTGCACACAGCTTGAGTAAATGCTACACAATTGTAAAATGCTTACTCCCTTTCTCCTTCTTTTTTGTCTTCTTTCTTTTGTGGCCTACTCAAAGAAGCTTTCTAAATTGGTTTCTTCCACAAAACTTTATGCTAAATATTTCATTTAATTGACTGCAGGAAATACATCTCTAAAAGATAATCAAGCTGCAAAGTCATATGGGGAAACTGCATGTCAGTGAGCAAAAGTAACTGGTGTTTGACTTTACTTTGGAATTTGCTTGAACCTTCTTCAAATAGCAGAAAGCTGACAAGCTTTAGTTAGCATTTGCAATGCCCCAAGAGCGCATAATGACTTCACACACAACGTGAGTATAACACATCCCAAGTTCACATCACTCAGATGAAAAGCAATCACCTGGTAATCCATGGCAACTAAATGTTTACAATTCTTAGGAACTTATACTGAGGTATTAGAGGCAGTTTTCACCAGACTGTCTGACAAGAGGGCAGACAGTTCCTCAGAGCTTCCCTGATTTATATGCCCTCAAGAAAAAGACTGACTCTTTAAAGGTACTTGTTCTCTCATATTTTTAAGAGAGCAGTTACTCACATAATTAACCTTTGCTTGCAGGGCTTACACATGCGTTTCAAACGAGGAGCCAGATCTAGAGGTAAGCCAGGCTAACTAAAACCATGTTAGCTGGAGCAATATGAACATAGGAGGGGAAAGTGAATGATGTTGAAGAAACAGCCTGAAAGCTTTTTGTCACAGTTATGTGGATGAGAGATTCAGAAGGCAAAATACCAGACCATTAATACCGTCCACAACAAAGTTTTCCCCTCCCTCTGCTCTTCCTGAAAGAAAAAAAGGGTAGTCAATAGTGGAATAGTACATCTGGCAGCATAGCAGAGAGAGAGATGGGACAGTTGTGGTCTGAGAAGGAAAAAGGGCCACCCATGAGACAGATGCTCCCATCACAGATACTTTTCTCCTGGAAACAGAAGGGAATCCTTTTGCTCAGCCAGGTCTTTTCCCTGAATCTCTAAAAGAGGATTTCCTTTCTCTGATTACAGCTGTTTGCACAGATAATTCATCCACAGAAATTTATCAACACAGGGGGACCTGGCTGAGGCTTTCAGGGAGCAGAATAGAATATTGTAGGTGCAACAGTGGTTGGAGTCGTTGTCGCACTGTGCCTGTCAGAGGTATGTATGACAAAGAAAAAGGAAATGGTGATTGTCCATCTAATCATCCTAAAGAAAAACTCCACAGTCATGGTCAGAGTTACTGCACAGAAAATTTGTCTGGGAATAGAAGAGGATAGAAATGAAAACACTGTACACTGTCTCAGGCAGGACTAAGTGAGAGTGGGCATGGGGCTGAGGAAGTCTAATAAAATATATGGAGAAAATGAAACAAAGAAAGAATGAAAGCACGACATAAAAAGGCTGCAAGAACATGGCAATACCAGGTGGGTAGGGAAAAACAGAATAGGCTAAAGGAGATTGACAGGAAAACGGAAAATGTGTATACATTGCCAGCTTCTTGCTTCTGTGAAATCTAACAGTATTTCCTGGCTTTTGCTTATTCCACAGTCTGCACTAGAAATAAATGCTACAATGGGGGCCAATGTTCACAGGCATATTATTCCCCACAGCTCTTCATCTGCCAGTGCCACCAAGGTTTCTCAGGGAAGCAGTGTGAAATAGGTGAGTATATCACATCAACTGCTGTGAGCAATGCTATTGATGTTAGCAATGCAGTGCACAAGGATGAGACACCCAGAAGCTCCTGCTGTAGGCTAGGTTCTCTAATAAGTTGTCTTTTTTTATTCTAAAGCTAGAATAACCAAAGAACTTTTAAAGACACCTGGGTTTTTCTTGGTGTCTCTTAATAAAACTGTGAATTGTACAACTGAAGACCTTCATGTACACTTACAGTCTGCCTGACAGAGCATTTTCACTGACTTACTGGACAAGATATCCGTGAGCCAAGTTTAAACAGAACAGAGACTTGGGAAACTGTCTGGGAAAGAATTTGGATGCTGTCCTTACATTTTGTTCCCTTTTGTTCAGATACTGAAGTTAAATGCTACAAAGACACTGGAGTAACATATAGGGGTACCTGGAGCATGACAGAGAGTGGAACTGAATGTTTAAATTGGAATAGCGATGGCTTGGTGAACTGGATGTACAGTGGCCAAAGAGAGGATGCTGCTGAGTTGGGATTGGGCAATCACAACTATTGCAGGTGAGGGGCTGATGGCACACAGGTCAGAGCCACAGGAATCAGCCCATTCAAAGAGCCTGGAGCAAAATAATGGCTGCTTGCTGTAGTCTGATTTCAAGCAGTGAACATTCTGCACAGGTGCAGGTACTGTGCAGCCCATGAGCAGTAACTGCAACATCTGTAGATATATCTGAACTTCAGATCTTCCTAGACTGGATGTTTATGGCAAACTACAAAATGCAAGTATCGCTCACCCCACAGGCTTTCCCTTACCCCTTCCCAGCCCTCCCTAAACTCCATTTGTAATTCAGTTTCCTACTGCTTCAAATCCTGGTCAAAACCATAAAAACATTGTGTTTCCTGTACATGACCTTAACTACACAAACATGCTGTCCACTCCTGCTAGCTACTTGCCATCTCATCTTCACTTCAATGTATTCTAGTTTTAAAATTAAAATAGGAATTCTAGCAACTTCTGACAGTTCAGTCCACATCTTCACTGCAGAGCAGGATTAAGTTAGCAAAGCAGAAGGTCTGTATGTCACTATTGGCAATAGCTTTATAATAATGCATAATATTGTAACTCTTTCAGAAACCCAGATGAGGATTCCAGACCTTGGTGCTATATCTACAAAGGGGGAAGGTACACCTGGGAACACTGCAGTGTGCCCTCCTGTTCAAAAGGTACGTGCAGGGTACAGGGAATAGACTTTGGAATTTCCATTATTCACTGCATATGTAAGGGTTCTCTGTGAACTTGGACTATTTCTGTAGCCTAAAAATGTTAAGACTCCCATATCATATTTAGGCTTTTAGTACTTATGACACTGAGAGAATGAGATATGTAGAGGTAATATATAGATGCCTTGATAGAAATCCCCCCTAGGATTTCTATCTGAACTGACAGGTTCACATCAATAGGTTAATGTGCAGCTTTCTTACTGAAGTTAGGAACATCAACTGCAGATCTGGAAGAGGTACAGATTACCGCGGCAGCCACAGTGTTACCAGTTCTGGAGCTACCTGTTTGAAGTGGAATTCTCGAATCCTTGTCAACAAGCTGTATACTGCTTGGAGAAGAGATGCTTATCAGCTGGGCCTTGGTAGTCACAATTTCTGCAGGTATGTAGTTGGTTATAGCATAATAAAAAAAAAAAACATCAAACTGCCTTGCAGTACTCTTAAGGCAAGGGTCTAGTCTTTTACATGGATTAGTAAAGCACAAGAAATACATTACTAGTGACAGTGAAACTCACTCCCAGTAGTAACTTTATTCCACCTGACCTATTTATGCTTCTCTAAGATCAGACTCCACAAGTGCAAATTTCATATACCCTTAGGGCCCTCTGAATCTCTAGAAAAATCAAAAATAATACACTTGGGTCGCAGTCTGACATCTTTAGCTCTCTGCATACTCTCTGCAGATCTGATAATAAAAATAGCTCTTCTCTCTCCTATGCTGCAGGAATCCTGATAATGACAGTAAGCCCTGGTGCCATGTCCTGAAAGGAAATCAGCTCACATGGGAGTACTGCAATGTGCCTACTTGCTGTAAGGATACCAGCATTCCTGATTCTTCTCTTTCTTTGAAGCATTACTGTCCTGCATGTCATCTGTATTAAAATAAGATCTGGAAAAAAAAAAAAAAAAAAAAAGGCATCTTCCAGTTAAAAAAGAACTGGAGTTAAACAAGAAAACCATTTTGGAGCAGAAAGAGATTCTGTAGCTCCACTCTCATAGAAGTGCCTTTTGGTCTGCCAGAAGAGAAAATTGCAGAAATGGAGAACAGGAAAGGCAGGGTTTCCTTACTGTATTTTTCAAATCAGAATACAAGTTTCCTAGGAAACAGGGATGAGTCAAATACTAAACAGTTTGTGGCAGGCTGCCTCAGCATGGACTGGTGACTAGGAGGCTCTTAACCCTAACTCAAAGCAAGAGTGCCTGAACAAAAAACCTGTTTTTGGGTTTGTCATCCACAGCCACCTGTGGCTTACGGCAGCGCGGAGTACGCCAGTACAGGATTAAAGGTGGTTCCTACGCAGACATTGCGGCTCACCCGTGGCAAGCTGCCATCTTTGTGAAGTATCACCGAGTGCCTGGAGAGCACTTCCTCTGTGGAGGAATTCTGATCAGCTCCTGCTGGGTTTTGTCAGCTGCTCATTGTTTTGAGGAAGGGTAAGTTGAAGATTCAGTACTATCTGGGGAAAAAAGTCTGGAAAACAGAAACATTCAGTATAGCTTTACTGGAAGGGTATAAGACTTGGAAAAAAAACCCTTTTTATCCCAGTAAGTCTGCACTAAAGATTATAGCTAATTGTGCTGAGCATTACAGAGAGGCATTTAATTGGGCAAAGTAGCAGGATGGAATTAAGGTACCACAGGAGAGTACCAGATGCTTTAAGAACAGAGTTTTCAATACACAATGCAGAACCATCTGAAACTTAAGAACAGCAAGGGGCTGGCAGAGGAGCTTTGCCCTGATGGCTGTTAGCACATAGAACAAAAATGAAGGCAAATAAGTTACTTTGAACTCAAACTGCCTGGGTAACAAACTAGTAATAGATCTAAAATAAATTAAAATAAGCAGACTTTCCAATAGCACATCTTCAAGGGAAGGGTCCACTCCATTAAACACAGGAATAGACACTCTCTTTTCTTCAGCTTTAGTACAAATCAGCTGCAAATTGTGCTGGGTAGGACTTCCCGAGCAACTCCCGAGGAAAACGAACAGAAGTTTCAAGTGAAGAACTACACTGTGCATCAGAGATTTGACTCAGAAAATTTCAACAATGATATTGGTAAGAACTTCTCTGACTCTATGACTGGAAGGTCATGGTTGGCTCAAATTTGTGATTAATGAAGTGGGGATATGTTTTCCTTGTTCAGCTCTATTGCAGTTGAACTCAGATGCAGAAGACTGTGCTGTTGAAACAGGCACTGTCCGCACAGCCTGCCTCCCCATGCCAGAGCTGCAGCTGCCTGACTGGACTGAATGTGAGATCTCTGGTTATGGCAGAAATGAAGAATGTAAGTAGAAAATGTAAGTCTATGTGCCCAGAGCTTGAGTCCTCTACTCTCAAAGAATTCAAGCCTTTAGCATCACTGAATGCATAACGTATCATATTGGCTTGTATGAGCACTACAAAATGTACATAGGGGTTACTCAAAATCAAGTGTTGCTGTAAGTTATTCATCTCAGTTCTGTCAGTTGCAGGGGTTGGTCTGTCAGTAGTAGAGTCTTCCTTGATACTCTCCACAGTACAAAAGTAAAAACAAAATGGCACAATGAATAAGGTAGGAGAGACATAAGATTTGCAATCAGGGCTGCCACATCTGCTGAACTCAGTACATTTAGATATTGTAATTTGGACAGAAATCCATTTCTGTCAAGCCTTGATACACCATATAGTTGCAGATTGAGGCATTATTCTAAGAGACATTGGCTATGCAGAGATTAGCAAAAAAAAAAAAAAAGCTAAAGAAATAACAATCCCAGATATACATTAAAATCTGGTTAAATTGTTTTTAAAGTGAACTATAATGAACAGAAAAAAAAAGCTGTCTGAAAGTGTATACAGGCAGACCTGTATTTATAAAGTAAACAAAAAAACCCCAGCCCTTATTTTACTTTCTTCCTTTTCCATTTTCTTTAAATTCTCTAACTTGTAAACTTAGTAAGACAAAAACTGTAAAGCATCCATCATACAAGACCTAATCAGAGTTTGGATCCATAGGGGTTTTGGAACAGACCTAAAGACACAGCATGTAAGGAGGGCCTAAAGTATTTTTAAAGTACTCTTAAAGTTGGTCCTCAGCATTGTTTACAGGGACTACAGGATAAACTCTGAGAGGGAAAAGATGCTGCAACTGTAATTCAAAACTCTACTGAATAACAACAATCCTGCCAGCTTTCAGTTTTGTGCAATTGTAGCTATACAGGAGAATAAAACCACTATCCAAAACTGACTGCCCAAATCTCTTCCATTCCAACATAAGCATACCAGTTACTCAGTATCATGTATGACAAAACATCTAATTTTTATTAGTGCAAGTCTAATACGAAAAAGTTAGGATCCTGTTTCATACAGTTAAGGTGTTTTCATAGACATTTCCCGTGACTTCACTTTGATTGATGTAACTATGCAAAGATGACTTATCCACCCAAGAAACCTGGCAGTCTTTAATTTGGGGCCTGCATAAACCTCTCTAGGTTGCTGAAAAAACAGTATTGTTTCTCAACTAGATTTAAGCTGTTCTGATTACTGAGGTAGAACATCCAAGATAGAAAAAGACCCTTTTGCAAGGAAATTTTAGTTTAGCCACAGAGCTACTTCTGTTCACTCTCCCCTAAACTATGGAAACAGAATTGCAACTTTTAAAAAACATATATATGCACATACACAGACTTATATATGTATTTATATTGTCATTTTTCTTCCAGTTTCTCCATTCTATTCAGAGAACCTGAAGGAAGGCCATGTCAGATTGTTCCCAGCCAGTCGGTGCACAGCACAGTATCTAGACAACCGGACAGTTACAGACAATATGCTATGTGCAGGAGACACAAGGAACCTTGATGATGCCTGCAAGGTAAACACAACTCTGTTCTTTTTTCTTTTCCTTGTCTCTTTTTCTTTTCTCTGTACTTTGAGCTAACAAAACAGAAAGCTTCAGAAAATAGTTTAAAGAAGTTATGCATTTGCCTACATGGCAGTTCTAGTAGACTTTTCATGAACAGAACTGGTGGCTTCTCTTTTATTTCTCTTCCCCCACCACTCACAGGGGAAGGCAGGGAACATTTAAGCAATCAAACCAGAGCAACACAGACTGAAAATCCCAAATACAGGAAATACCACAAAACTGAACAGGAAAATCCACCCCAACATTTCCTAGTATTTTCTGTTATGTGAACATGCAAAACACTCAGCAGGAGGTTCTGTAGAAGGAAGGGGGTGCCTCTCAACTGAAAAGTAGAAAAAAGGAGAATAAAGGCTGAAAGATGGTAGAGGGCAATGACATGAGGAAAAAGGAAGGCGTGCATTCAGTCCACATCCTTTCTGTTTAAACAGCTATTTAATAATTTTGCTTTACTGTTACACACAGCAGTATAAAACCCCTTGGATCTTTATAACTTGAATAAAGGCCTTCCTTTCTTTGTTATTTTCAATATTTTATCTGCATTTCATAAATGAGCTCCATACAAAGTTGGACACTTTAGTGTTACATTTTTCTGTGTCTCTCCCCATAAGAGTAGCATTGAGGGAGTCTGGAACATAAAAGTGACTTAGGTAAAAGCACTGTTATTAAGAGCTCTTGATTTGTGAGCATACTACATAGGGTATTTCTGTAAACACTACTGCACCCTTAAAGGGGGGGGGGGGAAGCAATGCAAAACCAAAACAAGAGATTAATAACAATCTGCTATTTCTCTGTAGGGCGACTCTGGAGGGCCTCTGGTCTGTATGAAGGATGATCGTATGTATCTGATTGGAATCATCAGCTGGGGAATAGGCTGTGGCCGCAAAGACATACCTGGTGTTTATACAAATGTGACTCGTTATCTTGACTGGATTCAGGACACCATGAAACTCTGAGAAAGAAAAATGAACCCTTTCCAATCTGGTGACCATGCCCTCACAGCTTCCTTCTGGGTGCTTTAAGTGTGCTGACAGGGCTTCCTGTTTGTCCAGATGCTTATGACTTCTAGTACAACAGGAGGACAAACTGCAGTGTGTGGGAAGGGCATGTTCTCATAAGACTCTCCCTATTACAGGTTATTAGAAGTTAATCATCCTTTTCCCCAGCATCACCAAACTTTCATCTTGCATCAAACCACATAAATATGATAAAAAAATATTTCTGGCCATGAGTGAATAAACCAAGAGAGATCATGCATCTCTTTAGCAGCTAAATTGTTTTAGGAATGGGTGTGAACTGAAGGGGACGTTTAATTTCCTGAAAGCTTCATCTCCCTCCTTACTTGGCTGTACAACTGGAAGACATTAAGCTCTGTCCTTATACCATCTGACTTTGCTAATTTAAGCTGGTTTCAATAGCAGCTGGTTCCCAATAGAAAAAACAAAAGCTGTAGGCATGGGCTGCTTATTTCCAGATTAATATACTACTTATGTCTTCAGTTTGGAACCAATTAATTAACTGAGTTTGAGCTTAAACTCTCTGAGCAAATTCAGGATGGCTTGGTTATTAGGACATTTTATTCTTTCACTTGGTGTTGTTCCTGGTAATGGAATAGGTAAAAATTTTAACACTGGCTTGATCTGCCACAGAATCGATGCATATTTTTGACTATTAAATTTCTATGCATTATCATCTGCTTTGAAGAAAAAGCTTTCTCTTCTGTGCAGCAGTGCAAAACAAAGGACAAGTATATTGGTAGCTGTTTTAAGTGTCTGCTAGATTTCCATCCACAAGTAAAGGCCAAATCAGGTATCACAAAGCTGTGTTTGTTCTTTAACAGAACACAGGACAGTTACAACCAAGTCACCATGAACCAGAATCTTAGTAATCAGCATTATTTCCTTGCACTGCAGCTGCTACATGACACTAAATGCCATCTATGCACATCCTAAGAGTGAAACCTCTGAGAGCTTCTCTTTTGTCCCATTGTTTTGTAAACAGGTGTAACTACCATTTTACAAAAGGAAAACATTGTATCAAGGTTACAAAAGTAATTTGGTTTTATCATCAATCAGTAGCTAGAAAACTACCCTGTTGTATTTGGGAAAGTCAAAACATTGTAACTCAAAATATTTACTCTCAGTTTTTAAGAGCTCTCTGATAACCTAGTGTAACAGCTATTCAGATAAAGAATCTAAGCAGGTATATAAGAGCAATTTGGTAAGATGGCCATTACAGCTGCTCATAAAATGTAACTGAACCACACCTGACACAGATCTCTTTTAGAAAAATAGAACCTACAAAAATGTAAGCTGCAGATATCAGTTTTACCTCACAGCTATTACCAATTCTTAGAAAATACCATTAAATGAAATATCCAAGTTGACAAAAAATGCTAGATAAGCCCTAGCTGCCATCTCTGTACTTGCTCCTTCCTTTCATCCCAGTCTGTCTTCCGAGACATCTTCTCTGTAGCTGACTAAAAGAATGGCCCAGAATCAACCCCAAATTTTTACAAATGCTTCCTTATCCTTTATTTTTAAATAGATCCTTAATCTGGGAGATTCACCAAATCCTTGTCCAATACCTAGCATCTAGTATTCTCTAGCCTTACTTTAACTTGCATTTTATTTCTCAGAAGTTGCTGCAACCTAGTTCAGTGTGTTTAACTGCCTTTCTCTGGCTTCTTTACCCATTACATCCCTCCCTGATAAAAAGAAATCCCTGAGATGGTTTCCATCTTTACATCAACTTTCCCACTTCTTACAGTTTTTATCCCTACTTGTCCTCTTTCAGCAACACAGTAGCTCCATCTTGAGACAAGGCCTAAGAATAAGGACTGCTATCTGCCTGCTTGCTTCCATCTGACTTTGCAACTGACATTGTCATATTCAAGTTGTTTCAGAACCCTAGTTGACATCAGCTTTTTTTGTAACTGAAGTACACAGCTGCTCCTCATGCTTCCCTTGCAGAAGTCCTTCTTATGTCCAACTTATATCATTGAAGTTGTTGTTCATTTCCCCTTCCTGCCCTGCTTCATCTTCCATAGGAAGTTGCAGTCATCTCAGACTGGTATGTCATAAGGGCCTGATGCCCTAATGTATATTTCAGAAACCTTTCAATATCTTGAGTAACATGAATCACTTCAACAGTAAATAAAAGATCCTTTAAAAATCAAAGCTATAAAGCCAAAGGACAGTATCAATACTTGAGGAGCAGGAAGGTGATGAGGTATTTGTCTTCATAAACAAAGCGTTGTCTTCATAAGCAAAGCGTTGCCTTTAGCAGGCTACCCAGCCCAGTAAACAAAAATAGTTCAGCTGCATTCCTAAAGACATTTTCACTTGAGGTTCTAGGAAATGCTCAGCACTCTTTTTGGGAAACACTAAGAAAAATTACCAAGAAAACAAATAGTTTCAGTTTTTCAGACAGCAACTTAGTCCCAGGTTCAGAATGCCAACCACATAAAGACATTTATCTCCCTAAGACACTCACTATACACAATCATATTGGCATAATTTACATTCATCCTTAAATACCAACTTTATTTCTTATAAAGCCTGCACAAACCACTCTGAAATGACACAGATGACATGTAAAAATTTTATTGATGCCCTTGTTGAAGGTTTTGTTTGCACTGAACATGCTCAGCAGTAATGTCACCTCAGCAGAATGCCACCTGTTATGGAATTCTTCAGCTGCATGGGAACTAGTAATCCCACAAGCAAGATGCCACTCATCTACTGGAAGTGTCCACCACATGCAAGGTGGAATGAATGCTATCCCTCGTCACTCCGTTCTGCTGACAACATTGCCATGTAGTGGCCAAAGACCTGTTACAGGCAATATGAACAGTGCAGGTGCCTCTCATTTCCTCTTTCTGCTGTACAGAGGGATGTACCATAGGCTGGAATGGACAGATACAGCAACAGCTCATGAGGAAGAGATGATCCCAGTGAAAAATCTGGCATAGGTTTGAATCCATCTGCACAGCACCTGACTGGTAGAGGAACTGAAATGAGGTAGGACAGGAGGAACACTATAAAGGTACCAGGTCACAATTATCTCAAAGGAAGACATCAGTGAGCAGGAAAACAGCAGTATCACCGTCACTTGCAATAGGCAAGGAGAGGCAAAAAGAAGTTCCAACAAGTTACTAGGACAGTGGTTATCTTCATGTAGCCACAGCTTCAAATTCCATCAGTGCTCTCTCTACAGAAGCTCCCCTGTCTGTCTCTTCAGATTCCCCAAATAAGCTAGGAGAATTCCTACCTTCAAACACTGATGAAGTAAGAGGAGAAGCAGAATTACATGGAGATACCACCGCCCATCAGTTACAAGATCTGAATGTATTTCAAATCTGTTCAGAGACTTAAGATCCTTGATGAACAGAATGCCTTATGAAGTACCTAGAGAAAGAATGCACTTCTTCCCTTCTTCCCTTTGTGGCGCCATTCCCAATCTCAGGCTTCTCAACTTCCCATCCTGGGTAGAACAATCTACCCTTCCACTTCTGCCAGTCTTTTTGAGGCAGAACAGATAGATGTTCTCCCTGCTGGCAAGAACTACACAACTCTACACACTAACACTCAGTGATACAGGAATGTAGATCATTCATTACATTGAAGTTTGTGGAAATTCAACTTTTTATCATGTAACACAGGATAAAAGCCAAACAAAATACAAGGAAGAGAAGCTACAAAAGGCTATAAATTCCTAGAATTTCCTCTAAGACAGCAAAATGAAGGTGATACAAACTTACATAGCTGACTTGCTAATCCTAAGGGACCTGAGCAACTCTCCCATCTGCTATTGTTCCAAATACTTCAGACTCATGTAGGGATGATGTGGTTTCAGGTCAACCTTACTTTTCCCTGCTTTCCAGCACTCTGAGCACTGGCTTTACTGCTTATGCTACAACAGACAAGGGAGCAACCCTAAAGAGATGGATGGGATAAGAGGCTGCTTCCAACAGCCAGGAACAGGGAAAACAGGTAAAGTGCTCTTCGTCGCTATCAGCAGCCTCTAGGTTCGGACTTGGAACTTGCCAGCCTTAGTCATGTATTTTATCCCCTTGAATGGCTTGTATTTCTCCCCATACATGTCCAGGCGATTCACCTTCAGTCCTAGAGGCAAACAAACACAGCCATAAGACTGACTGCTGCCACAAACAAAGCTGACAGGCCATTGGGATAAAGGGACAGAAGATCATACTGGTGGTGCAGAAAGCACAGGAAAAGTTTTAGCAAGCAGTAGACAGAATGGAGTAAAGCTGACAACTGCTAATTGTTAGAATCATTTTTACAAACACGTCCATACCCTTAATTTCTTTAGAGGTCTGTAAGCACAAAATGCAAGGAAATGCAGGTAAGTTGTTTCACAGACCACTAGAAAGAACAAATCCATATATCTGTAGTCAAAGCAGACAGCTTTTTTGCTTGAAGAACATGTTTCAGGTAGAGTGTACTTCAGAAAGTTTGTTACTTCAGCTACATGCAGAATGAGCACCAGCACAGCAGAGACCATTCCACTTCTTTACCTCAGAGTCACTTACCAGATATAGCCAGCTGCTGAATTTTAAACTGCAGGTTAATGGTGGGGTTTTCATCTGGTTTCGATGTCCCAGCTTGCAGGCTTACGCTCCCCTTCAGACTAGGCAGTTTCTGGGGGTTTATTTTCCCAACATCCCATGACAGTAACTTTAAGAAGCAGAAAATGCTGCAATGAAACTCAAATGCTGCACCTTCTAAAGAAGAGTCCCCTTCCTTACAGCTTTTAATGTTTCTCTATGAAAAATGTCTTCTTCTTAGTATCTTGCCTTTCATATTGGCCAGACACAGATTAAGGAGTGGATACCTCACTCAGAACCTTTGTCCTCCCTCTCTTTCCTTGTGGCTCCCCAAAAGCCTACTATAAATGATATTTCCACTACTTCTGCTAAAGGCCACATGGGTAGGCCCATCAGATTAACGCTTGCATGAAGAAAAGTTACCTCCTTGGGTTCAAACAACAAAACCAGAACACCCCAAACCAAACCCATTAACCTCAGTGTTTGCAAAAGACCAAGATGCAGCATTGGGCATGACAACTAGATATACAGATGTTTGTAAGCCATCCACAAGATTGATGTCCCATTATACAAGACCAGTATATTATACAGTGCTTGGATTGTCTTCACACACCAAGTAGCCAGAACTACAATCCACTCAGACACCAAGGTATTTGTCCTGAGGATTAAGAAAACTCCTAGTATGCAGTTGTTCAGAAAAAGTTCTCACCCCAACATATTGCCTTCAGCAAAGCAATGTTCATGGAAGTGTTCATGTAAGTATGAACAGGTTGACTGCATTTTCTGATAGATAAGAAAGATTTTTTTTGTTAAATTATCTAATTTTTTTCCTCTTACCTTTGTAACTGGATCAAAGACATGTGTTCCCTGAGAGGGCATGAGGGTCATATTCAAGACACTTTTTGGCATCTGGCTAGTGACCATCACTCCCTCCACAGTCTTCCCCATAGTCTGCTTTGGCCCCACTGTGATCTCAAACCGTCCCAGTGAGCTGCTATCACGAAAACTGATGTTGTGCTTAACGTAGACAGGAATTGCCACAAGACTAGAATAAAGACACAAACAGCAAGTCCTTGTCAATCTCTTGTCTTCATATTTGCTTAAAAGAGAAGGAAATCCTACAACCATTTGTTTGAGCTAGGAGCAAAGTCAGGGTTCCATTCTCTAGTCTTAATTACACTTTTTGTAATCAAGCTTGCTGTATCCTATTTTATGAGAACAGGGAACTACATCCAATAAAATAGGAGGCTTGATCAAAAGATGGGAAATGTTTTTGCATGTCACAATCAGGTTGGCAAGTAGTTCCTAGCAGTGCAGCACCACTTAAACTTCATGTTTTATGCTTCTGGTTGCATTTGCCACTCCTTTTCACCTACTAGAGATAAATCTGAGAAAGGTGTAGTCAAATTCTTTAGCAACTGTAACCCCAAGTAGTACTTGGCAAGCTGCTTCTAGAAAAGACTGTAAACCTGGACAAGAACTTGTGGTTCCATTAAGAGAGATGTCAAAAACCTAACAAGAGCACCAAACTATTTTGTTTTAGTCTAAAAAGTTTTTATAAACATATGAAATCAACAGCTTGGTTACTCCACACTGTCTAATTCTTTCACTATCTAGTTTGTTTATATGCTAGTAGTCTTTGAAAAATGCTGGCTGGCCAGAAATTACAGAATCACTGCTCCAAACAAGGTGAAAGCGTGTAATTTTAAAAAAAGAAAAATGCAAGTCATCATGCACCTCTACTTCACTTGGCTCAACATGCCATGTTTAAAAGATCCTTCTTTTATCATCTTCCTAGCAAGAAGGATCCAAATTTCATAATTCACAGCACTTCATTCGCAGACTCATCACCTACTTCTGAGCACTGACATGGTAGGACAGCAAGCGGAAATTTCCATCAGGAGGAATGAAGGAGAGTATTCTCTCTGACTCCCAGCGCT